CAGCCATCTGCTAAAAAGCTGACATTACATTTCTGCTTCAGCCTACTTCAGAGCATGTCAGCAGTTAGCATAGAAGTAGGTGAGAGTTCCCAAGATGGCATCACTGCGGTTCACAGACCCAGAGCAAAAGAGCTTCATCGGCACTTTTGGCCTTCCACTCTCCCGAGTTACCTGGTAGCTATGCCTAGTGGACCTCAGCACCTGCCTTCCAGATTTGAACACCCTCAGAATTCAGGAGTGCTCAAGCTCATTTTGAGCAGCTCTTACTTCATTTCTCCCAAATCGACTATACTGATGCACTGTAACTTGCTGTAGAAAAAGTAGAATAAATTGAGCAAGAAATGCTTCCCAGTGGTTATTAGGACTGGAATTGCTATTTTCAACAGCCATTGCTTTTTTTATTATTATTATTATTTTTAAGTTTTAGTTTTATTTGTTTAAAAGGAAGACAGTGATGGTGTATTGGCAAATTCCCCATAGAAACAAAGAGTGGAACAAAAGACTAATAAAGGCACCTCAACTTTTCCTCATTTATGTAGGACAGTCTTTTAATATGCATCCAGATATCCTCCAATCACACAAGCTGAAAATTGTTCCACTTTACTGCAGTTCTGTAACCATATGGGAACCAATCCTGTCTGTGTTCTGTGCACGTCCAAAATTCCTGCTGAATGACCTGCCGTGGGAGTGAGTTACCAGTGACCCAGGGCTGGGGCGGCAGGAGGGTGCAGTTGGGGGGGGGGGAGGGGTGAGAGCCCAGGGCTGGGGTGAGGGGCAGCCAAAAATGTTTTCGGTTGGGACAGCAAAAAACCTAGAGCCGGCCCTGACCAAGTTGCTGTAAAATCAATGCTTAATCAGTGAAGGAAAACAGCTATGATTTACAAGAAAGACCAAGGATCACTCACACTGAAACAGAAAAGAGACAGTCCTCAGAGCTAGGGAAGGGGTGCAGGCTCTGGCTGGGGGGTGCGGGCTCTGGGGTGGGGATGAGGGGTTGAGGGTGCTCTGAGCTGGGATCGATGGGTTCGGAGGGGGATAAGAGGTGGAGCAGGGAGCTGGGGCGAGGGGAGAGGCTCAGGGGTGCAGGCTCCGGGTGGTGCTTACCTCAAGCGGCTCCCAGAAGCAGTGGCATGTCCCTTCTCTGGCTCCTATGTGGAAGCATGGCCAGGCAGCTCTGCACGCTGCCCCTGCAGCTCCCATTGGAGCCCTGGAGGGGGCCATTGGACCGCAT